TCGCTTTTTATTGCATCACTTGGTAGCTTCGCTAGCTTTGCATTGCATTGCTTTCCTTATACAAGCTTTGTCTATAGAACTTGTAAGCTACAGGTTGGCACTAGGCCTCGTGCACGGCAGCTGCGATCAGCTGCCAGATGGAACAGGCCCTTGAGGTGGCCTCGCCGGGCAACGCTTCTTCCAGCGATACCAGCACCAGCAGCTTGAGTTTCTTGCAAAGAGAGCACCTTGCACACGGACGTGCGTTGGCTTTGCTTTTGCGCTGGTGTTCCATGCTTTCAGTGCGTGTGGAGCGCCTTGAGGCCCAGGCGACACTGTCTCGTGCCTTTCATGCTTGGAAGATGGTTAGGCCGTGATGGCCCCCCCTTTTGCCTTTTCTACGCCTTTATGTGCACATGTTCTTCCGCAGGGTGCTCGGAAGCTCCTGCCTCTGGGCGTCCGCTCAGTGCCCGTGCACTTTCATGCCAGGCTTTTGTTCCTCTGGAGTGTATCCTGTGGACATCTTGCACAGGACTTCCGTCGGCTTTTTACCCCATGGCGACTTGCTTTGCAATTTTTCAATCAAACGATGCGCCGTGCAAAAGCCCGTTCGTTAACCAGCCTCGGTCATAGTGAGCACATAATACATTCACTTGCGATTTCTTGTTTATTGTTGCATTGGTTCCTGCAACTCAAGCTCAGTGGTGTTTGCTGTGGCACTTTTCTGACAATTCTGCGCATGGCCGACCTTCTCCGTTAGGCCTGCTGGTTTTGAGCTCGCTGTTTTGCGGCCTTTGAGCTGTGTCTGCGTCGGCGATAGCACAGGTTTCTGTCTCGCCTGCTTCTGCAGGACACTGTCCGGGCTTCGCAGGCCATGCTTGGCTAGGCTGCCATTTTCCCTGCACTTCTGCTAGCAGCTTTACTTGGTCTGTGCATTTCCTTTGGTACGCAACTGCAGGTGTTGAGCACCTTGTTTTTCCCATCAGCTCCGCCGACATTCTGATCTTTTACTGGCATGGCAGGGGACTCGGGTTATTGGTCCCTGCTTCTTGCTTCGTCTGTCCTTCCCCTTTGGAGCACCAGCGCACGTCATTCTGTGTGTGGACCGCAGCTTCCTCTCAAGAGGTCGCCTACCTGGCTCTTGCATTCTAGCATTCCTTTTGTAGCCCCCCTTTTTCTTTTCGGTCTTTCGCCTGGTGATGCCGGGGCACAAACGACCAGCCGCGAAACCCCTTGCTTCGATTTTGAGGCGGGGCCGCTTTGCTGGATTGCCTACGCCCAAACCCCGCGCGCGGGATGCGAGCTCGGAAACAGAAGAGGTCCCGTCCCCGCCGGGCGGTCCTCCCCCCCCTACAGGGGAGAGCACACTGGTCAGATCCAAGGCGGGTTCTGTGTCATCCACGCCCTCGTCCAGAACTGCTTTGGCTTTGCGCCGTGGAATGGAGAGCCTTCGAGCCAGGTCCGCAGATGGTGAGCCGTCCTCGGGGACCACACCTCGTCCCTCTTCCAGCTGTGGCGGGGCCCCGGATATTCCTTCTGGCCCATCTGGTCCCTCCACTGCGCTGACACATTCCACAACGGCCATGCCGGGATCTTCCTTTGGCTTGGCTGCCCTTGCACTTGGCGCTCCTGGGTCTGCAGGACCCTCGGGCCCTCCTCCCCCAAGACCGGCTGCAGTTACTTTGCCCTTCATATACGTTGATGGCTTTGCCACTGTGCAGTTGCCTTTTGGGGTTTATGCGGTTCCTCATCCTTCTACTCCGACCCTTCCATCGGCGACGGCTTCTTTCATTGGTCTTGCTTCACCTCCAGCAGTGCCGAAGAGTACGGGGATTCCACCTACTACAGCTTCTCCTGGATCTCCGACCACACCTGCTGTGCTGGAGGACGAAGCTGCCGATGATCAGCCCAGCTAATTTCTCGGTAGTCAGGTATGTCCTGGCTTTCATCCCGAGGCTCACCATTGGCACTTTTCCTCTGGCTTGAGAGGTCCCGCAGCCAACCTTCATGCTTCTTGGCAGTATGCACTTGTGTCGGGGAGTCGTTTCACCTTCAGCTCAGCCTGTCGCTTTTGGCTGCTGATTTGCCTGCGCTCGACCCTGCCTGACTGCAAAAGTCACTTTGTTCTGTGGGAAGGGGCCGGTGCCGTGCCCTCCCTTTCCCTCTCCACTTTTTGACATTATCCATTGAGCTCAGGTGCCGTTCTCGCTCTCATTTCGACTTCTTCGAGTCTTCGAGCTGTGTGCGGACGTACCAGACAGGCTTCGCTCTTTTATGCTCTTTTAGAGTGCTTTGCAGGATCGGGGCTTCCAATTTTGGTATGTCTTTTCTTTGCAGTTCAATAACTTGCCTCCCAGAGCCGGCATCATTAGCTTTCGCTCAGGCCCCGAGGGGGTTCTGGAAGATTATCTCTATTCTGCTTTGCACTCAGAGCGTCTGCTTGCTGAGCATACTTTCAGAGCGTCTTAGGCTTGGAGGGCTCTTTGCCTCCTGATGCCTATTACCCTTGTGCATGTATCACGAGTTCATTCTTTGCTTTGTCGCCTTTTCCAGGTTTTGGAACCATCAGGTCCCTTCCGTGCTTCTTCGTGGCTGTAGGCCTTTGGCGTTTTGACTCTTGTCAGTTCCTATTCTTGTAACTTAGAGCAGGCCACGCCGATCCGCTGTTCAGGCTCCGGAGGCCCTGGGAGGCCGACTCCGTCCTGCTTTGAGCTCAGCTTGTTGCTTGCCTGACACACCTCGGTGCCTTTGCCAGCCTTCCCACCTAAAAAGGGGGGGAGGCCTTCTGACTTTTGTGTGTTTTCTTCGGGCGTCGCACACCATCACTTGCGCTACTCAGGCAAAACTTGACACCCAGAATCTCGCGAACGTTAAAGACTTCAGGGCGAGACGTCTTTACAGCTTCTGTTTTTAACTTTCTTGGCTTCGGCAACCCCCAGCGGACGTTTTCGTTGACAATTCAGGTCTGGCCTGCGGGTTTTTGGCCTGGTCGCCTGGGGAACCCTTCCAGACCGCCTACATCACGCCCAGCGCTCAGCTTTGTCGATACCATACAACCCTTCAGAAGCCCTGCTGTTGCCCTGGAGCGCAATCACATTCCTGTATGGCATTTTGCGACTTTCACTCCAGCCTATGGAACTTCGCATTGCTTCAGCCACAAGGAGGCTTTCTTTCGAGAGGCTTCTATCACATTAATCGGCATTCTTGATTCAGTCATGCCTCCCGTATGCACGCCAATAGCTTTAACCATTCCCGCGTCCGTTCCCATTTGGTCGCCGGCGGGATGCAAAAAGGGGGACATAGATTCCAAACCTTATAACCCTTAAGCCCTAATCCCTCATAAGGACTGCTTGTTAACCAGTGCAAGGGGGAACATCTCCAGGCTTTCTGGGAAATGTTCCTTTTGCCCTTGATGTCGGATCAGGCCTGGTTTGACAGTGGCCGCTCCCTTTTTGAACTCGAGCCTTTTCTCTGCTGCGAGCCTCAGAAAGGGGGTCGCGCTTTCGGGCAGACTTGCATCACTTTGCTTTGGGCTTTCTTTACGTTGCACTCATGTCGGTGCTTGCATCGGAGCTTCAGTGCTTGCTCGCTTCGGCCCGGCTCTTCGCCCTTACCCTCCGGGGGGGTAGATTGGGATTGCAGCGCTTTTCCCTGGGCCTCGCACTCAGACATTCTGAACTGCCATTCAGCGTCGTTTGTGAGCTTCGTGTGTAGTAACTACACAGCAACTCAATGCTTCTTCTTTGCATCCAGAGCTTCTTCATTATCATTTGCCGCTTTGCTTCAGAGCTTTGATCCTCGTTTTAGCCTTCCCAACTTTGACACGAAAGTTGTCTCTTGCCGTGGTGGCCCTGCCTACCTTTGCTTTTTGCTGGCAATGGCAAACGTTGACATTTTCCTGGGCCTTGCGGATACGGAGGTAAACAAGGCGGTGTCGTGGCTGGAAGACGCGCGCCACATGCCGGCGACTAGTGGCTTTTCACCTGCGCAATGGCTGTGGCACTGGCTTTCTTCTTCTCCAGCTTTCGCACCTTTAACAGAGGCTGCCTAAAAAATGGATACTGTCTTTGGCTTTGGCTCTGATGATTGGGCTTTCCATTGGGTTGAGGAGATGGAGAAGGCCGCTTCGAACCCGAGTGCATCAGCTTCTCAGGCCACGCCGGCGCATGCTGCTTTCGATAGCCAATGGCCGCATTTTCCTAATGGCCACCGTTCCCTTGGACTGGCCCCCGCTGATCTTCTTCGTGCACATGTATGGTTGGAAGAGGCCGCTTCCTTCGATGGCACCAGTGGTTGGAAGGAAGACGACTTTGGATGGAGCAGGACTCGGCCTTTGACACTTTGATTCAGCGCGCCCAGGAAGCGGGCCATGGATGGAACATCGGCCAATGGCTTTGGCTTTGGGTGTCACAATCCGACCGTCCCCAGCCACCACCGGCGCCTCCTTTGAACACTGTCCCTCCTTTTTCCACTGGCATGGGGCCGGACGCCTTCCCACTCAGTCAGCACAACGAAACGGTGATTGTCCAGCAAATTCACTGCCGCTCTACATGTCAAGACTGCGGAGCTGGCCATTGCGGGGTTGTTCTTACGCGCGAAGATTTACCTCATCGTCACCGCTGTGGCATCTGCTACAAAGCTTTTAGGAGAGCACAAGGGCAGCCCTAGAAAGCCCTCACTTCAGCACCTTGTCTTTCTTTTGGTGCCCTCTGCCTTGGCTTTGCTCGTTTTGGCGGGGCACGGTACATAGACCGTTGTTGGCCTTTGTCTCACCGCATTTTCCCCCTGGCGCTTTAGGTTGCTGGAGGGCGATTGGCCTCAGAACGCGCCGATGCAAATCCGAGTGTGCCTGCGGTTTTGGGGTTTCTTTCACTCCTTCTTGTGCTTTCTCTCATACATGCTTTCGCGCCCAGGTCTGTTTATGGAACCTGCTCACATGTTTCCAGGCGCGGCTTTCAGTGTGTCCAATCGTTCCCTTGGCCCAGCTTCCTTTTGCGCGCCGCTTGCTTGTATCTCTCTGTGCTGGTTCGGCTTGCCTCACTTTGGCCCGCACAGCAGTTCCTGATAGCAGCCTGGGCTTGCGCCTTCCAGGTCCGTCCGTGGGAGGTGTACATTGGCTTCAGGTCACCCTGACTTCGCATTGAGCTTGCTTTTGAAACAAAATAATAACAGATGGCATTCGGGGCAGCTGCTTTCTTTCCCTAATGGGGCTTCCCTCTGCGACGTCGCATGACAATTTTCATGCTCTAACGGGTCCCTTTCCCGAAGCCGCCCTCCCCCATCGCCCAGCCCTCTTTTCCCTTTTTTTTTGGGAGGTCTCGGCCTCGGCCTGATGATGTTCTGATCCCAGTCCGTTGGGGTCAGCAGCCCAGAGGCTTTTCAGCATGCTCCCCAGTTCCGCGCATCTTGAACCTTGGGCATCTCCCTTACGTTACCGATGCAGGATTGTTAGACCCGTCAGTAGGTCTCATGCTGGCTTCATGTCATCCCAGCTGCACACCAGCCGGTTAGGACTTCTTGACTCCTGGTCTGTCTCAGGTGTGATACGGACCACCTAGACTTTGCCTTTTCCTGCCCTGGGAGTGCTTCGACCCCGCGAGTGCTTGCCTCATTGCAGTCTGACCTTCTTTTCTTCACTTTGCTTGCGGGGATTTTGTCTCCTTGAGACCGCAACTGCACTCCAACTCCTCGGCAAAGCGTCGGCCATTGAGCGTCAGATTCGCGTCGGCTTGCAGGCTTTACGTGGTTCATAAGGCTCGTTACACTGGGTTGTGGGCGTTTTGTGCATTTCGAGGCCATTGGTCCCACTGGCTCTTGGAACCTGTCCGCCAGGTGCCCGTGACTCAAGATGCTGGCACACATTTGTTATGTCGTCCTTCGGAAGTCGACATCGTGGATACTCATTTGAGCCTTGTTCCTTGTGATTTTTCCCTTTCCTACTTCTCGGGCCCAGAGGTTTCGGCTGGTAAGGTCAGCCCTCCTTTCAGGGGCATTTCTTTTCTGTACAGGTCTTGGCCTTTGCCACTCCCGCCGCCGCCGAGACGGCTTGTCTTTGGAGCTATTCTCAGTGCGTCCGTGACTCGGCCAGTTTTTCGATTTTTACACCCCAGACGGTCAGTGCGTAGCATTGGATCTTTTGCTTGCCTACTTTTGTTCTGTCTAACTTACAGAGCCTGCCCCACCTGCCGCGCCTACGGTTGTCACTTGCATTTGTGCCGTTTCTCCAGCCTTTGGGCTCCAAGACTGTTTGTGGCGTCTCCCACGCCAACGGGACAGTGCACCTTTTCTCTGAACTTTGCCATTATGTCGTCCCAGGACGAGCCCATGTCAGACGCGCGCTTCTATCAGATCCGCGATGCCGCGGATGGACCGCTTTGGGCTGCTTTGACTAAGGATCGATCCTTTGCGTCCGCCAGGCAAATACTTTCGCACAATTGGAAGGCGCGATGGAGTACCATCCGCCTCGAGAACGACTTAGTCAAGACTCTTTTGGACGCTTTGGCACAACATCCTCAAGAGCGGGCTCTCTTTGTCCACAACTTGGCCGAAATGTCCCCAGAGCCTGAGTCAGAGGAGCTTCCTCTCGCTGAAGCACCAAGCAACTCGCGAGGGTGACCCCTTTTTGGCTCGAGTCCACAGGGCCTTCCTTTCAAGTGTGCTTTGTTACGCAGGCTTTCAAACAGCCTTTGTACTTGCGCTTTCTTTTGTTTGTGCGCTCTCAACAGTACCATGGCACTCTGTGCTTCTGCTCCTGGGCTAGCCTTACGGGGCTTATACCATGAAATTGCGCAGTGACATTTGGCCCTTCGATATGTTTCTGGCTTCAAAGATCCTCCTTTGTGATCTCCTTTGATTTTGTTGAGCAGGTCTCACGTGCTCAGGCAGTCGGCCGACTTTGGTGCCTGCGCGGAGAAATACTGGCAGCAGCGTAGGTGTCATTAATTCGGGTTGTGCCACCTGGTTTTCTCTTTTTCATAGTGCATAATCCGCCAGTCTTATGGTGTGCTGCCCCTCCGTTTCTTTTCGCTCAGGTCTTGGCTACTTTCGGCCACCAAAGCTCCGAGATATCGCCCTCCTTTTTCGCTTCTGCAGGCCCGGCATTTGCCTAAAGCTCATTAGACCCGGTTGACCTTAAGCTGCGCCCCGAACCTTCGGTTTTTCCCCCGTATATAGGGATGCTTCCCAATCCATAAGGAGCCCTAGGCTGTGCTTTGCTCAGTGCGTTTGTTTTGCTGGCAGCCAGTAAGGGGCTTTGCCTCCACCCTCTCTTTTTCCTGTCAAGAGTCAGGCTGGCTTCCCTGTTCTGCCGGTTCAGAGCTTCTTACAGGCCTTCAAGCGTGTCACACGGTCGTCAAAGGCTCGTCGCAGCTTTTGCGTTTCAGCCCCACGCGCTAGGACCTGCCAGTTCGGGAGGGCCAGCGCGCGTTTGGCGAGAAGGATGGCTCCGTGCTTGTTTTTGCTGTTCCTTGTGAGCATCCCACACAGCACTCGCCCTAGCCTGCAGCTCTCTGTGGCGGGTATTACAAGGTTTATCTTTGGAGGTACATTTCTTTCTCTTGGGGTAACTCGGCTTGTGGCACGACAGAATTCCCTTGTGCGACTTCTTCTGCCCTCATTTGGGCACTGTCCCTAAGCCTGGGTTTTCTGCCTGTTGGGTCTTTCGGGCGGTAGGATGGGTTCCGTCACGCTGGTTTAGGGGCCCCTGCCTGCGACCTTGTCAGGAGACATGCGCCGCTCAGTGGTTCAGATCCGCCGCATCGTCTGTTGGAGTAAATGAGCGTATGCGATGCTTTTCTCCTAGTTCTTCCCACTTTTGGGGTTTCTGTCAGCCATTTCTCATGCCTTGGACGGCCTGACGAGCAGCGGCGGTGCCATAACGGCCTTTCTTTCCCCGTGCGGCCTCCGTCCCATGTGGCTCTCAGGGAGCCTTAGTGCACTCTTTGCATTTGAACATGGAACACTTTACATGTCCTTTACTATACATCACTTTGAAGGGGCTTCAGCAGCTGGCTTTTTCTTGCCCGCGGGCCGGGCACATGGACCGCTCTGACGAGGTGGCCTTTCTGCGGGAGGAGGTCTCTCGTCTCAGGCATCAGGTAGCCATCCTGCAAGGGGACCTGTCGGGCGCTCATCTGACTACAGAAGGGCTTCTCACGCGTGTCCTCGCTCTGGAGCAGTCGTCCAGTGGGCACACAGTCCGATTGTCTGACATGGAGGCCGACCTCGAGCTCTGCAACACTCGTTTGGCGGAGGTTCAGGCCTCTCTGTGTGCAGTCATCCAAGGCATTGGATCTGTACTTTGCTCCGTGCTCCGACAGTTGGGCAATCGACCCTAGCGTTGCTTTCTCCTACCCCTCCTTATTGGGGGGTCGTGTTGTGACACGACTTTCTACAAGACGACTGGCTTTCGTGGAGCAGTTCTGGTTTTTGGCTCTGCGCTTGGAACTTTGAGTCGCGGAAGCCACATTACAATACTCCCCTGAGCCACCCAGTCAACTGGGGGGCATGCCTGGCACGTCTTCGCTCACTTTTAAAAATTGGGCTGTTCGGTGCGAGCTTTGACTTTGCCAGTGTTAAATTGGTGGTAAGCTTTGTCTACTCAGCTTTGCCGCAATTCGATTGCTTGCTTTGTGCTTCGAACTCTGAGCTGCATTTCCGGCAAAGTCAAAAGGAAGGGAGCGAGAGCTTATGGTAGGTGCTTACTTGGCTTGGACTTTCCTTAGGGCTTGGTAGTGGCTTTGGTAGTGTGGCTTGAACTAGCTGTGAACGGTTCATGTGTTTACTCATGTCTGTTTACTGTTGTGAAAGATCACCGTACTTTGTTGCTTTTGGTTCAAGCCACACACCGAATTCTTGCAGTTTGCGTTGCATCGCTTGGTAGCTTCGCTTTTTGTTCCCACCCACCACTCCCATTATGAAGACTCATTCCTTCATTTGGGACGGGTCTCGCGACCCTTGTACAACCGGAGCTTGCTGCTCATCTTGCACTCGTTTCACAGCGGTACTTGCTTCTACTTTGAGACATGTCCCATACTCGCAAGCTGTCAGCCGGGTCTGCCCAAAGGGGCCCCGTCCTCTAAACGGCTGTGCTAGCTCTTTTTGCTACCGTCTAGCTGTTGTGCTCCCTTTTGCTTTGGGACATGTTCCAGGCTTGCGAGCTATCAGCCAAGTCAACCCAAAGGCGTGCTCATCTTTTAAGCGTTTGGAGCCAGCCTCGTTTCACGAGAATCCACGAGCTCGTTTTTCTTGCCTTGGTCAGGATCTGTTCTGTTTTGCTCCTGTGTTTTCTCGTCATGGCTCACTCAGGTTCTCTGCTTTGACACAATTCATTCGCTTGCACGGTGGTGGTAAGCTTTGTCTACTCAGCTTTGCCGCAATTCGATTGCTTGCTTTGTGCTTCGAACTCTGAGCTGTGGTAAGCTTTGTCTACTCAGCTTTGCCGCAATTCGATTGCTTGCTTTGTGCTTCGAACTCTGAGCTGCATTTCCGGCAAAGTCAAAAGGAAGGGAGCGAGAGCTTATGGTAGGTGCTTACTTGGCTTGGACTTTCCTTAGGGCTTGGTAGTGGCTTTGGTAGTGTGGCTTGAACTAGCTGTGAACAGCGAGATGACATGAGAGCGAGGTGAGAAAGCGAGCGAGGTGAGAGAGCGCAGAGACGAGAAAAAGAGCGAGGGAAGGAGGCGAGAGAGATATTGAGGGAGAGAATGAAAGGGCAGGGACAGAGATGTGAGAGAGGAGAGAAGAGAGAGAGAGAGAGAGAGAGAGAGAGAGAGAGAGAGAGAGAGAGAGAGAGAGAGAGAGAGAGAGAGAGAGAGAGAGAGAGAGAGAGAGAGGGGTAGAGAGAGAGAGAGAGAGAGAGGGCCTGGCGCGCTGGGGATCTTCCCCATGCCCTGCAGCAGAAGAAGAAGACGAAGAAGAGGAGGAGGAGGAGGAGGAGGAGGAGAGAGAGAGATAAGAGAGGAGGAGAGAGAAGCGAGAAGATACATAAACAAAGAGAGAAAGAGCGATAAGAGAGAGAGAGCGACAGATACTTGAGAGAGAGAGAGAGAGAGAGAGAGAACCCCTTCCGCGTCTGCCACAGTTTCACTTGAGACCGGATTCGGGGGCGCCCGCGCGCGAGGGCCTCCGGGCCCTTAAGCCCAGCAGAAGAAGAAGAAGAGGAAGAGGAAGAGGAAGAGGAAGAGGAAGAACACGGATAACACACTTCAGTTCGGATCTCGTGTCGTGCACTGCGCCATTTTTTTCCGTCTAGGTTTTACGTATCTGCATGCGGGTTCATGGCTCCTATGTTCTTCTTCTCTCACTTTCTCTCTGATTGAGAGCTCTTTCATGGTTCTCGGCAGGTGGCGACTCCAAGAGCCCAGGCGCAGGCCACTTGGGGGGGGGGGGGGCTGCGTTGCGCGCTCCGATTCCGGGGTGGCCGCGGCCGCTCTGACAGCTCAGTCTTTTCTCCCTTTGTCATTTCTCTTATCTTCTTGTCCTTTCTTTGCTTTCTGTTATGGAGGCGCTAGCTACTGCCTGAACGGGCAGTATATTCACTACGTGTGCCGATCGCAGAAATGCATCAGCTTGTCTTCCATGGAAAGTGAATACTACAGTGCCGTTGGCAGCTCCTGTCAGGGACTCTTCATGAAGGCGGTGGTCGAGTTCATGAGCCGCAGCCCTTGCGATCTTATCGTCAATGTTGACAACCAGTCCTGCAAAGCGTTCTGTTTGCGTCAGGGTGTTACCAAGGCTAGCAAGCATTTTGAAGGTCGATTGCTCTGGCTGCAAGATGCAGTGCAGCAGAAGCGCTTGATCATGAAGTATGTTTCCACGCATGCAAACCTTGGTGACATTCACACAAAGCCCCTTTCCCCAGCTCGGCTTCAGAGTTTGCTGTTCCTACATGACTTTGTGGACATGCATGACAGGCCAGTTGGATCCGAAGAGTGGGATCGAACAGACGAATCTCAGGCGGGGTGAGGAAACCTAACATCCCTGCCCTTTGTACACACCTCATGTATCGGAAAAGATGTTTTCACTTGATTTTGGCATGAGCCCAATTTCGTGAGAACATGTTGTGAATTGCAGAACTCCGCTGAACCACCAGGCTCTAAGAGTAGTGGAAAAGTCCGCTTGGTTTTTCACTTAATCTCCGTTCATGGTAGCGGAGCGACTCGGTTGAAGCCGCTTCGTATGTGTGGAACCTGTTGCCGCAGAGGGCCCGCAGCGACCTCCGGCTGCTGCGCGGCCCTCTCCAGCCTCTCCGGCTTGAGCTCGCTGCCCTCCGCCTCGGGGTCCAGCAGCCCGGTTGGGCGTGGTAGGCTTGCAGAGCCGCCTCCAGGCTCTCCTCCGCCTCCCGCGCCCGCCAGGCCAGCAGGTGCGGGTCCAGGAAGCTGGCGCCGCAGGCCCGCAGGGCCCAGGCCACCTTCACGTCCTGCTTCAGCCGCGCGAAGCGAAGACGCGGTGGCGCCGGTCCACCGAGCTGATGGCGCCCTCGGGCGTTGCTGGGGGGTGAGGGCTCGAATGGCTGTGGAACTGCGCAGAGGCATGCGTTCATGTCCCCCCTCCTGCCGTGGTTGCAAAACAAGAAAGAAGAGCAGTGGACCTTTTTTTCGAGGGGGCGATGCTGTCCTGCCCCCCGTGGGTGAGACTTCACTTCGTCCGCCTGGACGGATTTCTTGGATTTGGGCGCCACGAGCTTGCCGGTGTCGGAGTTGATGGCGTAGAGCTCGTTGGCCCACCTGTTCGTGCTGCAGCGCAGCCGGCAGCCCTCCACGGTCCCGTCCTCGATCCTGGCCGTGAGGATTGCCAGGTCCGCCCTGTACTGCTCCAGCGTCCGCGCCGCCAGCGCCAGCCACCACGTTCTTGTGCGTCACGCGGCGCACCGGCAGACCCGCCACTTCCTCGCCCTCCTCCTCCTCCTCCTCCTCCTCCTCCGCTGTGGAGGCCGCCGTGGAGGCCGTCGCAGACTTTTTTGCCGCCGGCTCCGCCACAGGCTCCGCCACAGGCTCCCAGGCTCCACCGCCGCAGGCTCCGCCGGAAGCTCCTCCATGGGCGCCTCCGCCACGGGCGCCTCGGGCACGGGCTCCGCTGGCTGTACCGGCGTCCTGGGGTCCTGCAAGCTGGCCTGCTCGACAGCGAGGTGGGAGCCCAGCTGTACACCGTCGGCCCCGAATTTACGAGCTGCACGTGCACCTTCGTGCCCTCGGGCCTGACCTCTGGCAGCGCCTTCACCTCGCGGACGTCGTCGTCCGTGATCAGTCGGCACTTGGCGACCGTGCCAAAGGTGAAGCCGCCCTCCACGCGGAACTTGGCATCCTCAAGCGCCAGCTTGATCCAGTCGTTGTTCAAGGGCCAGCCTTGGATGCGCCGCAGTCCCTGGGCCTGCTCCAGGTGGAGCCGCTCCTGCAGCTCGCGCTTCCGCTCCGCCTCCGCGCGCTTGCGTTCTGCATCCAGCTGCGCCTGTTGCTTTGCGATCTCATTGCGGATTACCTCCACCTCCTGCTGTGAGACCTCCGCCTCCTGGGTCTCCACCATCGCGGGCTCCTCCGCCGGCTTCTCCCCGGAAGAAGCAATTCGGGTCCAAGCTGAGGGTAGCAGGCGTTTGGAAAGTAGATGCAATGTCGGGTAGAGGACGGTTTTGGGAAGGCTGGAACCATGCCCCTTTGGCGGAAAAGCGCAGGAAGGGTTTGGCCGAACAAGGGTGAATCATGGGGCTTCCCCCAACGTCGTGAACCGGTTCGTAATCCACAAGTACGTCCTTCTCCTGATTTGGCTGGCCACAATTGCTATGTTGTTTGTCACCAATGCTCCCAGTGGTATTGGATCAATCGTATGCGAAGCCACGGTTGCTGCACCAAGTGCGGGGAAACGTGGTCCGAGGACAATGTCGCCTACTTCGACCGTCTCACAACACAACGTGACCCAGCAAAAGCAGTTCAACACTGTCTTAAGGAGGCCCAATCCACAGTCCGCAAATTGGGCAGTCGCAGACATGTCATGGAGCAAAGCCTGGCCAAGGCACGGGACAAGGTCACCGAACTTGAGGAGAAGATGCGTGGTCTTGACCGTGAGTTGGAGCAGGCAGCAGAAACCTTGCGGGAGGCCACTACCGCCTACGGCACACGCGTCATCAAGAGTGAGTTGTTGGAGCCGCCCACGCCCCACATCAATAGCATCACTGCCGGAGATGCGGAGCTCCTTGGGGATGTTCCAAAACTACGGGCGTTGCTTGAGGAGGGTGGCACCCTTAGTGAAGAGCACCGCGCCCGTTTCGCTACCCTCCTGGATGATGCGGATTTCCGCACAAACTGGAGCAAACGTCGGAAGCAATGTCAGCCAGATGGTGCCCTTAGGGAGGGCACGGACGTGGATTGGGAGACTGCGGGCGGAGAGGACGCCCCGCATGATCTTTAGCATCCAACCGTACACTGACCGCGCCACTCAGTTTAAGGCAGCAGTCACCGTGGACCCACGTGATGGCGGATTTTTCAAGGTTGAGGCCAGCCAGCGCCCTGACCGTTTTTCCCACACGCCAGAAGCAAACCGCAGCGAAGGTGAGCGTGCCGACCACCAACACGGTATGACTGCCTTGCAACAGACTGCGCAACGAGCACAGTGCGGCATAGCGGAAAGTCGTTGCACGCAATGGTCCAAAGTCCAACAACGACCCGTCCAAGATGTACTGAACGAGCATGCTGAGAGTAGGTTGGCACGGGTGGGGAATCACGAGGCTCCGGAACCTGACGTTAGTGATCGTGGGGATTTTGTGCTTTTCTTCGCGAATGTGACCTCGTGGTCTGAACCTGTGCGTAGCTTTTTCTTGAATTGTCATTTCCACGCCTTGGCTCTGGTGGAACACAAGCAGTATGACGTGGAGGGGTTAGTTGAGTATTTTAAAGGGCAGCGATACTTTCTGAACGCCTTGCCAGCTGAAGTCAAAGAAGTTCGTCCTAGTGGTGGCTGTTTGCTGGCCACAAAAGGACACCTGAGCTGCCAGCCGCTTCCGGTTGGCTCTTTCCGGTGGGTCGCGAGTAAGTCTAGGTTTCGGGGTTTTGACATGGTCTTTGTGGTTGCTTATTTCCCCACTACTGGATTGTTCAGCTCTGACCATAAGGCCTTGCAGCGGGATATTGGGGGTTTTCTGGTTAGTTTAAACTGTCCTTGGGTTCTTGTTGCGGATTTTAATTGCGAGCCAGTTGATCTGCACAACTGTGGCTGGACCCGTCTAGTTGGGGGTCAGATTTGCTTCCCTAGTACTCCCACGATTAGTACTGGTTCCACTCTGGACTTTATGGTTTTGCACCGCGCTTTGCAGGGTCTTGTTGAGGTGCAAGTTCTCACTCAGGTCCCTTGGAGACCGCGCTACGGGGTTGAGTTCCGATTGAAGTGCCATGCGCTTTGTGAGTATGTACCGGTCATTCCATCACTTTCTCCGCCGCTTGCAGTGGGCCCGCGTTGGCCATGGGGCAAGTGGATGGAGGGTTCCTCTCCGGAGGGTGTGACGTTAGAGACGGGATATCGCAACTGGTGTAAACAGGCGGCAGGTTATCTAGGAAGTACTAGTGAGGAGTGTGTTGAGGGGTTAGGCCTCCCAGTGCAGGTTCAGTGGGTCAAGCGTGTAAGCGCTGCTGCGCGCGATGCCACTTTTCAGGATGGTGCTGTTTGGTATTGGTCCACGGTTTCGCGTTTGGTTGGGGATTGGTACCGCTTTCGAACTAAGAATGCCCAGATGGCCTTGCAAGAGTCACTGTACCTCAAAGTTCAGGAACTGATGTTGCGGTTGGATGAGTTTTGGGGCCCCACTGGTCACGAACCGCACCCTGTTGCTTTAGAAGGCCCTGTGTTTCAGGACCCACATAAATTCACTAAAACTGGAATCTCTAGGCTTTTGAGCAAGCTTCAAGATGTTAGACCGGCTATGATGTCCAAGTTGCTTGTGACGTCACAAGCAAGAGTGAAACATGCTGTTGCCTACCTGCAGTACTGTAAGCGTCGAGAATTTGAGAAGAAGGCTAAGAAACTTTCTGAAGCTCACAAGATCATCAAAAGAGACGAGGTTGTATTTGTTCGGCCGTTCCAGGATGTTTCTGTTTCTATGCGTGCGGAGTGTCGTCGACATTTCTGGGCTGAGATTTGGGGTGAAACTCTGACGCCCTTTAAGCCTAGTAAGAGGTTGTACCAAGCTGCCCTGAATCAAGCTGACCAACTTTCGCGGATTAGCGCTCCCCAAATTCAACAATGCCTGTCGCACATGGCTTCTAAAAAGCCCGGAATTGACAGTTGGACTTTGCAAGCCTTGAAGCAGCTCCCACGTGAGGGTTTGTCTGGCTTGGTTTGGTTGTTTGCTAGAGTTGAAAGGGAACTTTGTTGGCCGGAAGGCATCTGTCAGGTTGCCGTTGCGTTGCTCCCTAAGGATGCTGATAGCGAACGACCCATCAGCTTAACTAGTTTTATTTACCGGCTGTATTTCAAACTTAGAGGACATCTTATTGAAAAATGGGTCAAGCAACTTGTCCCTGACACCCCATGGGATGGAGCTATTCCTGGTGCCAGTGTTTTTGACAGGGTTCTTGGTCGGTTACTTCGGGGGGAAGTTATGGTTTATACGGGTGGACACCAGGTCACTCTTCTGCTTGACGTTCGCAAGTTTTATGACAGTATTCTTAGAGATGAACTCATTGAACAAGCTTTGGATTTAGGTTTCCCCGCCCTTCCCCTTTGTCTTGCTATGGGTATCCACGCTGCTCCTAGGTTTCTGTTGGCTGAGGGTCAAGCTAGTTGTCCTATTTATCCCTTGCGAAGCATTCTCCAGGGTTGTCCCACTAGTGTTGCCCTTAGTAAGGCGTACTTGTATCGGATTTTGCAAGATGTTTCTGAGCAGTTTCCCGATGCTGATTTGGCTAGTTTCATAGACGACCTTGCTGCGGATTTGTGTGGTGATGACCCTGAGGCTGTTGCCGTTAGAATTACGCAGCTCTATGTTCGACTTGTGGAGGGTTGAAGCAACGTGGGCTCAGGGTGAATGTGAAGAAGTCGGGTTTCTTGTGCAGTAGCCGGGCTTTGAAGCGTGCTTTGGTGAGCCTGCATGCTAAGATCCCCCAAAAGCTTCCGAAACCATGTGATGTGCTTAGGGACCTTGGCTTAGATAACACGGGAGGGCGCCTTCGACGCCTAAAGACTTTCAAGGGGCGTGTTGCACGGGCTCTCAAGAGGGCTGGCAAGCTCCGTTTGATCCCCCGTGGTCTGCGATCGACCTTGATTCAGACCAACATCTTGGCTAGTGGGTTGTGGGGCGTACAGGGGCAAGGGATTGCGCCTACGACTATGAAAGGGTTGAGGGGTCGGGTTGGGGTTAGTTCTGGTATTCAGCATCGTCTTGGTTGTGTCACTGTGGTTTGGCGATTAGTTGAAGAACCCTTGAAGGATCCGATCCATCAAACCCTTAGGCAATCAGTTACTGGATTCTTCGACACGGTTTGGCGCCTCTCGCCAAGCCTGAGAACCCAGCTAGCCCGTGGTTGGCGTTTAGCTTCCGCCCAGTAAGAAGCACCGTTGGCATTACGCTAGAGGCCCCTTGAGTAGTTTGATCTGCATTTTGCAGGACTTGAACTGGTCTGCCCCAAACATCCATGAATGGTCTGACCCGGATGGTCAGTCATTCCCAGTTGATTTGCTCTCTCCCCTCATAGGAGCCGAACTTTTGTCCCAGCTTCACGCTACGCAGGAGAGTAAGTTGTGGAGTACGGCTGCGGGTCACCAAGGGGGACAGGGCTTAGAACACGGCGGTGACCTTTCTGTTGCTAAACGGTTTTTGAAGTCGCTGCGTGACTCGAAGGACGATTGCCGGGCTGCCCTGTGCGTAGTTCAGGGTTCGCTCCCTAGTAGTTCTAACGGCTGTCTTGACTCATGTCCGTTTTGTGGTAGTACGCCTACTTTGCAACACCTATTGTATGAGTGCGAGCACCTGAATGCGACAGCTGGCGCTCCGCCTGCTGAGTGGGTCAATGCGGCAAAAGATCCGAAACAACAGTGTTTCTGGCTTCGGGGTATCATACCTAGTGCTTGGACGTCCCTCAGAGAGTCGGTGCGTGATGCGTTAAACGGGCACTCTGAGGTCGGAGGTTTGTGGGCCCAGTCTGAACTTTTAGATGGTTCTCTGTTTTATTTTGGGGCTGATGCTAGTGGAGGGTCGCAACAGCGAGACCCTCGTATCAGGATTTGTTCTTGGGGTATTTCGGCCGTGTCCTTAAATAGCGAGGGGCAGTGGGAGTGCATCGCCCATAGAGGTGGAATACTTCCTGGCAAGAAGCAGACGGTTCCACGTGCCGAACTCTTTGCGATCACACAGCTCATTAAGCACACCTCTGGAGCCATGTCTTTCTGCAGTGACTCGCAGCTTAATATGAAGCTGTTCCGCAAGCTGGTTGCGAAACGTAGGGTTAAGAGTAGCTGGTCCAACGCAGATCTGTGGCTCCATGTTCAAGAAGGCCTGTCTGATCGTTGGTTGCGGGGCTCGTGGGTTCGCTCCCATCGCT